AAAATATAAGTCGTGAGGAAAACAAACACTACTCTCAATCTCACCTACAACTATTTCAGAATTACTTACGTTTTGATCCATTTATATCTTTACGACTACCAATAATCCCAATATTATTTGCAGCTGGTGTTTTTGGTTCGTGTAAATTCTTGTCCAACCTCTCAAAACTTCGCACAACATCTTCAATATCATCCAACGAAATAACATTGTGTTCGTCATCTGTATACTTTGAACACAATTTGGTGATTTTGTATAACTCGTGCTCAAACTTAGGAGAGAACTGCTCAGATAAAAGCGATGAATCGATTTGTATGTGTTCACGCTTTAAACATTCCAATATATCACTTTTTTCATTTAAAACTTGTTTGGTCAAGACTTCAATGTCTTTTTTCGCTACAATATCGGCCATTTGATGAATTTCAACAAAAACTATCAGACAATTTATTGAAATATGGAAAAACAAACGCCGTTAATGATACTGAATTTTTTTGAATAAGTTGATTTATTTGTCATTGTGTTCGTGCGGTTTGACAGATAATTCGACAATGCGAATTTTATAAGTGGCGTTGCTGACGATTACCAAATCATCGTTCTGCAAACAAAAGTAAATTTTAAAAGAGGAACATAAGTACGATGAAAAAATATCAAATAATTTTTTAATAATTGAAAGAATTAAATTGAGAAAATTAAGTCAAAATAATAATGATTTAATTATTATTAGATGAACTGGTATGTTTAGACCAGATGGCGCTGATGAACGCTGCAGTGAAAGAAATGAAGTGCACGAAAAAGCGCGAAAAACGAAATGTCATGAAATTTTTTTCGATATTGGTTATAATCAAAGTCAAAAAAGGAGTTTCTTCTTTTCATATTCTAAACAGTTCAAGTGTTGCATAAAAACGAATTGAAATTGGGACATTTTTGCTAGTGTGATATTATCTAAATTAATCCTTTTTTGTTCTACAGATACCAACCAATAAATATGTCAAAGACAGATGAAGTCAGTGATTCTAATTTTACCAAAGAAGCTACCTCTCCGAAAACGATTGAGTTGAATTTTAAATGCGACTTCGAGCCTGAAGATGAGGTGCTACATGCTATTCAAACAATTTTGAATGCAATTTCGTGTAAGTGGTTAAATATTGACTACCTGAACAAAATCTAACAAGTAAAAAATTTCGTCCACCGTAGCGGACAGGAAGAAATTAAATTCAATTCAACATGAACGCGATTCTCTTTTATCTCTACTCAGGACTTTTGAAACCGAGCGGTAAATAATTTTGATTTTTGGTAATATAATTCTTTTTAATCTCATATGAGAGTATACATATATCATATTATCTTTTGGTATTCATTAAAAACGAAATCCCGTGATGAAGTGTGGCTTTTTGAGTATGAAAAACTTCCCCTGTTTTCTTACAATTCGCAAATTTGTCTGTCTTCTGTTCTGGACGGATCATAATAAACTCGGAATGAACACGTAAAAATATCGAATCTTATTTAAAAGATCTTGCTTTGTTGGCAATATGTATTTCAAAGACTTTGATATTAATCAAATCTAATAACATATTTCATATTCAAAATCGCTACAGGCTACTTTGAAAGTGGCTGATCCATTCAAAATTTCGACCACCCGAGCAAATTTCATCTCATTGGTATGCAACTAAAGAAACCAAGTTTTTAATATAATGTTTTGACGAATTGTTTTCTTACGTCCCTCCTTAGAGTATAATACGTAACTGTGATTTATAGGGGAGATGGGGGTAATCTGGGACACTTTTTTTCAAATAGGCGGAACTCGGGTGCTATTGAAGGAAATTGAAAAAATTTATTTGCCGTAGAAAAGGTATTGTAAAAAGGCAACTTTTGGCAAACTTCATTTTTTTCCTGCCCCGTCTGAGGTGTAAGGGGCGCTAATTTTCCGAAGGGCTTACCCTTGCGGGTAATCTGGGACAGTGGGGGTAATCTGAGACAGCCACCATTTTGTATGTTTTTCAGCAAAATATCTCAATGTTTGTTGGTATTTCATGTATAATTCGGAGAATTCATCTATTTCAAACAATTTCCGACTGTTTTTATCTACTTTCACTGGCAATTTATTTCGAAAACTAGGAAGCAATGGCATTATACTGAATGAAGGGAAAAAATGCATTACCGGTTTTTGGAAAAGTAAAGAAATGACGATGCGCAGTATCTTAGTAGAGTCGCGATAGTCTCTCGGTATTCCGGTAATATTTGATACCACCTAGCTGTAATAATCATAATTTTGGTTCACTGGACATTGCTATTTCACCCGATTTCAACGTCGATTCTTCCAATGGCGTCTTTTTGGCACAAATTTATAGATATGTACCTATAAAACTACAACAAACATTCAAAATCGACATTAAATTTAAAGATAAACACTGTTTGTATGCCTTAGATGCAGGCCTGCCACAGGTCAGCTTTTGAGCTGATTATCATCTATTCGAAAATCTTCAGCTATTATCAGCTATTTCGGTCACAGTTCGGCTTTTTCAGCTTTAAAAAAAAATAATGAGAAAACTAACACAAATGATGAAAAAAATCTCAATGAAAAAAATGCTTATCATAACAATGATACGAAACGCGTTTTCAGACAGAGCAATGAAAAAGTAAACATTTTTCTCTTATGAAGACAATATTAACTCAATCTAATTCTGAATCATTGGCACTGTGCTATGACACGGTGTCATCCTTTCAATTTATCTGAAACGCATTGGTCAGCATATTTACGAATCAATGTAAATAAGAAATTATCGTTTTTATTATTGCTTCGATTTGGCATGACAACACTTGATAGATCATGTTTATAAATCGATGTAAAGAGGCAATTGCGAAACTGATAAAAAGAAATTACCGTTTTGTTATTCTCCAATTCGGCGAACACTTGCTAGATGTGAAAATGAGTGCACAAGCATTTTTTGGCTCAAGTAGTAGCTCCAAATATCAAAAATATAATAATGCAACAATCAGTTCACATTCGATTTTGGCACGAGTCACATTCCCATTCAAATCAAACAAGTACATTTCTATTGTGAAATAGAATGTCATGCAAAGTTCATAATGATTGGTTTAATTTGGAATTCGAAATGAAAGATAAAAGCAAAGTGAAATACAAAGAATTTTTCAAGAAGGAAGAAGATTTTACGTTGAGATGTTCAGCCTGCGATAGTACTATCAACATCAAAAGCAAAGGATTTGCTGCTGTGACCCAACACTTGATGCGAGATAAACATATTGAAAACATGGAAGTCAAATTTAATTCAGTTAGCAATATTATTTATAAGTCAACTGCTTAGCAAGTAAGATTGAAAATAAAATTTCAGTTATGATTCGACTAGAAACACTATAAAAAAACTATTTTTATAACTGCTTCTTTGATTTTGCCATATTAATCTCATCAGCTTTTGCTTGCTTTTTCAAACTGGTAATATCAGCTTTTTTAGAGAAAAAAATCTGTGGCAGGCCTGTAGATGTGGCGTGAAATGCATAGAATGCAAAAATAAACTGTCACACTTTACCCCCACCAAAGTGTCCCACTTTACCCCCAGTTACCAAATTTCACGCCACACATCAAAAAATTTTCACTAACCAGAAATAATTAAAATTACTTATTATTACGTGAAAGCACTCGACTTTAGCTACAAATTATACATATCATCAATTCATGTACGCTCAAAAATGAATGAGATATTCACGTTTCTATGGAGAGAAAAAATTGTTGCGTGAAGGGGCAAAAACACAAACCGTGCTCTAGCGCAGTGTGTATCAGACTGAGAAGAGAGTCTGTGCACGTCAAATGATCGCCACACTAATGCACATTTACGCACAGTATCGTTTTGACGTTTGGTGTTGCCCATCGCGAGAAAATGGGTGTGTCCCAGATTACCCCCTGTCCCACTTTACCCCCTCTTCCCCTACACAAAATTATTGTAAATCTTACTACATTGACTGTGATATGGCCTTCCATTGAGTTGATGATCGTTTTTTGACTTGTTATTTATTTATAATGCAAATGAGTTGAGTTTTGTCAATGTTTTACGAAGATTAATTTTAAAATGTGCATATCTTTCGGTCTCGACATGAGTTGCAAATTCAAAACTATCAACAGCGTTTAGATTGGACGTAAAACTCTCCTTCAATTTATCATCTCTTTGATAAATTGAACGATGACTTTTCTAGGCTTTTCGATGTTTGACGATTCAGTTAGTTACACGTTTAACCAATTAACAAACCAGTGGTTTGATTTTTCGACAAGTGACATTCAATATTTTTCACATGCTCTATCTCGCTCCTCATATGGGGAATTGGGTAACTCTTTTCTAAAATAAAGTTTAAAATATGTAATTTCCAATGAGAATATTATAAAATCAATGGAACAATTTAAAATCGGTCGGATCGAGCTGCGAATGAAACCAGAAATATTGAGAAACAAATTCTCGAGAAATTCCTACGTATTTGTACTGAATTTTTGAATTTTAGATTGCTGTTTGAAAAATGGGATTCATATCTCACGATCCACGAAATCGACTCTTATTTTTAGGCTCAAATTATTAATATTCGAAAGTTTAATAACTTTTAAAAACAATATAAGAAACCTGGTAGGTAATGGATAATTTAAGCTATATTGGACCGTTGACATGCGGCTAACTACATTCATTTCCATGTTCTGGTTAAGTTTTATGTATGAGCTTGAGCTATCTCATAGATCCAATTCTCATACTAGTCAAGAAGAATTATTTAATCGAAGCTATTTATATATTACTCTAATTGTATAAGCACGAAAAGATCAGGTTTATCATGATTCTTGGATGCATTTTCCTGCACACTTAAAATATTCAGCCAGCTTTTGGCGGTGTCAATAAATTACTAAATCAGTTACTTTATTTGTTTATTTATAGTTTTTCAGATGATTTGTTGACCACGGAAATGAAAGAGAATCGTCGAAAAAGGGTGAAAAGGGAGTCTCTGATGTTCAATGAATCATCAGATGACCCAGATAACACAAATGCTGATTTGAATGCTGCATTTCGATCATCTATATCTGAGAGTCCACCCAGGAAGAAGCAACAAGATAGCCAAGATGAGGTGATCGAACCAACACAATTTAGTCCAGTTAAATCCAAAAAAATCTTGCAGGAACTTTATCTGGAAAATGATGTTTGCAAAACAACGAAAAGAGAATCAACGTCTTTGGTCACGAAAGAAAGTAGCCCAACAGTGCTAAGCAAACGTTCTAGCATAAAAGTAACTAGTGAAAAACCTCACACTCTGGTAGAATTGATTTTAATAATGATTATTTTTGTCATCAGACTGCATTGAACGAATCGCCTAAATGGCACTCAAAGGCTCCTAGCAAGAATAACACACCACGCCGCTTGTTTGATAGCAGAACGGCTATAGATGCAAATTCATCAACACCGCAATATCAACAACTAAATTCTCGAAAAAAACTGGGATTAAATTCATTATGTTTAAAGCAATCCACCATAAATTTTCCAAAAGTAAGCCTTTATTCTGGATAAATTGAAAATAAAAGCTGAGATTTTGGTTCAATTTTCGCCTCTCTTGCATTAAGTGCTATCATCTCTTCGATGTGCTAGATATCATTAGCGAGTCGTATGCAAACTCTTCAACAATTTTTGTAATGTGCTATCGTTTTATGGTAATTTTATTTTCACCGATCGTGCGTATTCAACGTATTTACTTGGTAAATTTGCAGCGCGAATTCTTCAAATACAAATTCAACTCAGCTCAGCCCAGCTCAGCTCAGGCTTGCTTAACAGCAAAATAACACTCTCTGTCTGAAAGTTTCATGGTGAAGGCAGTTCTGTGATTTTCGACCTATTTTCGCCCCGAACATATAAAATAAATGAATACCAATTTTGTCGAATATTTCGAAGTTTTCAAAAAAATGGTAATGAAATGCAGTTTGGTGTGTATATTCCTGACAACACATTAAAATGAGATATCCATCAATTAGAAACGTGGGAAATTTTGGTATATTGCGAATAAAAGATTCGAAACTTCGAAGTCCTTGGCAAAATTGCGACTTTTTCACTTTTTTACTTTTACAATATGGGCGTTTCTAATTATATCCCATATTATTTTTTTAATTCCAGAAAAAAACAAAGTCTTTGATCTATAACTATAGTTGGCTCGGGAAACTTTAAAATTATCACGCTGATAGATTTCCTGTTCAATTATTCTCAACATGAAAAGAATAAATAGAATCGAAATTTCACCTCGTTTCTAATAAGTTATCAGGGCTACGTTGTACTTTAATAGTAATTTATGTACCTACCTTTTGATTGTCCTTTATTCTGGTGGTAAAAATGGTTGAAACTGTAGTTAAACGCAACCCTGAATTTTTTCTTGAATATATATGCCTGAGGACGGGGTATTTGAGTTAATAATTTTTACTTGATTTTTTTCAGTGTGAAGAAGAAACATTTTGTGAAGTCATGCAACAACCATCTACATCAAAAATAAAAAGAGAACCACAAACTTATGATAGTGTGATTGCTTTAGCAAAAGATACAAACGAAATAATAATAGTCAATGAATCGCAACCCACACAGGAAATTTATCAACATGTTTTAGACAGTGAAGAAGGATTTAATGCTCAACTTGGTCAGAATTTATCGAGGAAAATGATAAACACTAGGATTGAGTGTGAAGACTGTAACGAGGTAATAGCTTCATTTTATATTTCTGTTAGAAATTTCCAAATTTTATATATGGTTGGAAAGCTATTATCTTAAGCTCTCTTGAATGAAATGATACTAAAATGAATGAAATAACATTAAAAAATGTAAGTAGGAACGACGAAATGTTGTTAATGCTCATACGTGAAAACCATGTTGAAATAAAATATGATAAACTAAATATAATAGAAATTCGAGCACTATTTTTTACATGTTATGGTTTACCAGCACTATTTCCGGGCGGTGCTGATGACATGTACCTATAGAAAAGAATTAATAGAACACGCAAAAATGGTACCAATTTCAACGGAATCCAGATAGGACGAAAAATACAAAAAATTCATGAAATATTTGAGAAATAAGCCTCAAAGTGAACCAATATCACGATAACATGATCAAAATTACATTAAAAACACATGAAATGCGTAAAATAGATGAAACTTTTGTATAAAGCCGTAAAATGTGTAAAAAGTTCTGATCCGAATAGCCCCCAGGCACCATTTCCGAAATTTTGTCCTCAAAAAATATCACGCGCCAAATATTTATCCAAACTGGTATTATTCATTGATAGTACACGATCTTAGCTTTCAGAATATAATACCTTTCCGGTGCCGGATCTGGGTGTTTTGTCGCCCCGTGCAAATTGTATTTTTGCCGCCCTAAATTTATGAAATAAAACGAACATTTTCTCAAAGAAATTTCAACCCTTTATCACGCATTGGTTCCTAAAGTAACCAGATATTACAAACGCTATAACTACGAAACCACTGAATATTTTTGCATATTTGTTGGGAAACCAATGTAGGGAACTGAACCATCTTTCATTAATTACATTACTTGTACTGCTGTGAAAAAATGCGAAATTACAGCAGAATTCCAAATTTTGCATCCTCGCATCTTGTGGGTTTGTACATTCTTTTCGATTGTCAAATTTTGATTCATAGGACCAAAACACATCAATTTAACTTATGAAATTTAATTTATTCAGGCTGTTATTGCGGTTTGACAGTTTTGACTCTTTTCCGATTTTCTCGATAATTACGCAATTTTTCAAAAATCCATTTATCGTGGAACTAAACATATATCAAGATCATTCAAAAATAAAAAAATTGCGCATTAAAGGGTTAATAGTTCTTCCAAAAGCTGATAATTTTCTTTCTGACACGGCTTTGATATATCGCACAGAAAACCGAAATATTTGCTTAAAGGCGTTGTGGCGACTATCAAGACGTTTTGGCTCTCAGTGCAAGTAGAATTATGGCGCCTCTTTCAATAAGATTGAAAAATACATGTCAACTTGCGAGGAGAGCGAGCCGAAATTTTTTCAGTAAATCAGCTGAAACATTTGGCGCAAATCATTTCCCTGTGTTTTATTTTCCTCTTCACGTTTTCTTTTTTGCATTTATAATTTAATTTTTTTTTCAATTTGGGATTTTGCCGCCCAGTGCAAATGCACGCCTTGCATGTGCCCAAATCCGGCACCGTACCTTTCAATTCGTTGTTTCACCAAAACAACACAAAAGTCGAAATTCCGTGATGATGAGAATATAAATCACACTTTTACCGTTTTACGGCATACCGTTCACAAATGACATAATCATTTAGGTTGCCAAATATGTGGCAAATAACAACTAAAATGTTGGTGCCATATGTCATGGTGTTGATACCGTTTTGGTTCTGTATAGATGAATGTAGTATTTTATGTAGGAAAATTTCTTTGGGGCTATCAAAAAGCTGTTCTAAAGAATAAGACACATTACAACCTTAGATCTATGTATTAGTGAGCTGAGTTTAGCGAACAATGTATTACACACACATGAATTTACAGTACGCCCCCGCAAATTAGAAACCCGAGAATTGGAAAACCTCAGAAATTAGAAATGAATTTCAGGTTTGAAAATTTTTATGAAAAGTTTCTAATTTCCGGGGTTAATTTCTAATTTACGGGTTTTCCGAATCATTTCATTCAAGACAAAGGGAAATTTACTTCATTTTTAATGAAAAAACGTAATGAAAGTCTTTTCCATTTCGTTGAATAACTATATTAGCAGATCAGCTTGAGATTTTCGACGTTTACCATGAAGTTAAAATTAAGTCAAGAGTAATCTGTTCCATATTGTCTGCGTCAATCATCAGTCATTAACAAATCGAAACCGATTTGTTCCATCAGAGAATTTGCATATACAAAATTGTATATAGAATGCTAACGTTTTCTGTTTACTATCGTATGATATAATAAGAACAGTCGGTCATCGTTTATTTCGGTTTGTTACGAGGAGCAGTTTATCCAGTAAAATAAACTGACAGACTTACTATATATTTATAATCACTAAAATAACTGCTTATAAGCATTTATTTACATACAATACTTGATTGAACAGTGTTCAATATATTGTTTTCAATTAAGCAAATCATTCCTCCCTATCAGTTTTTCATTTGATACACCGTTTTTGGATGAAATTGAAAAAACCTCAGAAATTAGAAAACTCCGCAAATTGGAAATGGTCTCGGGACATTTCAATTCTAATTTGCGGGGGCGTACTGTATTTACCCTTATTTAAATGAATATAATTCACATATTTCATGTTACACTTCAGTTAAAACACTTCTGTATTCCCATTTTTATTATAATTATCAACCACACATATATAAATATATGTCCAAGAAGCATCCGTGTTGTTAATTCTCTATCGATTATCTCTCTTTAGTATCATAGGAAACTTGGACGTGACGTGGAAAAAAATCCCCCAAGGAAATTCGGCATTTGTTCGAAGCATCATAGAAATGTTCAAGTTCTGGATACGCCACCAGGATTCTGGAATCCGAAAATTATTGATTCTGAAAGTGATGAAGACACTCCATACGATTATCACTTTGGGAAGAAATGAACTCGAATTGTTAGAATGGTACAACATATTTAAATGAAATTTTATTGTAAATAAAACGAATTACATGCATAATCCAAACTTATCCGCACCGCAGCAATTTTTCTATCCTTCCGCTTCAGAAAACGATTTCCCAATTAATTTATTAGAATCACCAAGAGAATCATCAAGTCAGTTTATCCACGGTTCAGAAAAGACTTCATACAAAAAGTGCAAATATTTATCAAAATATCACAATTTTTACCGAAAAATAAAACGAATTACATACGTAATCCAAACTTTTCCGCTCCGCAGAAATTCCACTTACCTTCCACTCAACATGCAACCAAAAGTTCAATGAAAACTTTTTTCATAGCACTTTTGACCTTAAAAAATAACTATTTCGATCAATTTCCATATTAAAAGTGTCATTTCGAGAAATGACAGAATTTCAAAAATTTCAAGAGATGTCGATTTTGGACCAAATTTATAGGCAAGTAGGTGTTCGGTTGTTCAAAGACTCCCATTATTTTTGCAAAAAAACATAAGTTTGCCTCGACCAAAACCCTGCGGGTACTTATGCTTTTTTTGGGTACTTCCCATAAAAAAGTGTCATTTTTCAAGGTTTTTCAGGTCCTCATTCGGAGGCTTATGGTACGAAATTGGTAAGTCAGAATGGGGTCAAAATCAATCCGAAGCTTCGTCTCGACATGCCAAAACTTTTCTCCGCTTACAGATCTCAATTATCTCGTAAATTTTTTGAGATATCCGGCGACAAAAAAAAGAGATTACTATGGGATATTTTTATTCATATGGGATAGGAATATCGCATCAAAATATCAGTGCCGGTATTCTGGACACAATCCGCAAAAATCATGCGGAATTATTTCGAACTTTCAATTGAATTTTTAGAAGTGGAAGGATAACGTTCAATTATCATCCCACATACATTTTTGGAATGGACCTTTGCCTTCCACTTCCAAAAATCCAACTGAACGTTCGAAATAATTCCACATGATTTTTGCGGATTGTGTCCAGAATACCGGCACAGATATTTTTCATGCGTTGCGTTGTTGCAACGCTTCTGCAGTTCAAAATTCATATTCCCCTCCTCGAAAACTGCCACTATTCCAGTATATGTTTTCAACTCTATTGCGAGTAACAATATACCAATATACCAATTTCAATATATTTTGGTCTCAAATCGAATTTTTCACAAAACACTGAATTGAAGCTGAAGTCATAGAAAAATGAATATTTTGTTGTTCATTACCCTAAAAAAAATAGGAGCCTCTCATAAGTACACAGGAAGGGCATATTTTGGGTGGAAAATGCGATTTTCTGTATGACATATTGCGAGTTGAAAACATTTACTGGAATAGTGGCATTTTTTGACCTTTTACACCAATTAGACAGGGTCGAGCGAACTCTAAATCGTTTACTCGTCAAAAATAATGTGGCATTTAAATCACATCGGCCCATCATAGGTGAGTTTTCTATTCCATAAATGTGATTTTGTATGTAGATTGCGGATAAGAAAATGAGTGTTTTGTTGTTCAAGGACTCCAATTATTTTTAAAAATAATAGCAGTTTGCCTGGACCAAATTCCTGAAAAGATATTATTTTGAGTACTTCCCATACAATAGTATCACATTTGACAAAAAAATCAAATTTCACACAGAGTATGTAGTTGGAATGGTTTTCCTTTCAAACGTGTTACACGATTTGTCGCATAAATCCTATTTTGATTGATCTTAGTGTGTTGTTTTCTAAATCCGTTTTCCTGTGTGGAACATTACAAAAATATATATTCAAAATACACATTTTTTTGCTTGGGGAAGGCTGAATGTCAAACGTAATGTTGTGTGAATGTGAACATCAAAATTTTACTCAGAATTGTATGCTGCTTAAATGGAAACTAGTCATTTTTTTATTACAAAAATAGGGAACACGCTACGAGGCAAAAAACAAGAAAACTGTGATAAAAAATAAAAAATAAACATCTTACACGGTATTTATTCATTTTTCAACTGGAACATTCCTCATACGTAAGGAAATGAATTCATTAAAATACAAAACACGAAATGAAAAGAAACTTGTGTTTTTTTAGCCATCGAAAGGTGAAGGTTTATTTATATTCAATGCCGTATATTATCGTAAAACAATTTATTACAATAAATTTCACTATGAAATGGAAAATCGGTCGATTCTCTTCTTGCTTACAAACATTTGTTCTTTTTGTCCTCACATTAAATTGAAAAATCTTCTACTTTTTCTTAGAATTAGTTCGCAGATGTTCCATCCATACCAGCTTTCCCGGGAAGATTTTGCAACGACTCCTGTTCACGTTGTTGGCGTCTTCGTTTCTTACTCCACAATTCATGACAATCTTGCCACGTCGGAAGTTTTGGTGCCGGCATTCTAAATTGAATAAAAATCTTCAGTTTATATACATGTCTCTAAAAATTCAATATCACAAATGAATGGCGCTATGAAACTGATTGTTCTTAATCAAAAAATTCAAGAAATTCTTTGAAAAATCTATTTTTTTCAGGTGTTAACGAATCCTTTCAAGTGTTCAAAGTAAAAACCAGAAACACAGCCTCAAAAACTGAACAGTTTTCAAACACCTTAAGTGTTATATATTCTCCCAGGAGAATAACCAGGTAAATTTTTCGATATTTTAATTATAACAGTTTCATTTTACTTACTGATCAGGATTGACATTTTTTAACCAGTTTGATTTGAGAGCGTCCTCAGCAGTAATCCGTTTGTCAGGATCTAGTTCAAGCATTTTATCGAGTAAATCGAGTGCTGCACCAGGCATAAATATGAATTCTTCACGTAATCTTCGTCGATACTGCTTTTTTGGTTTTAATGTGTGGAAGAAGGGTAGACGTATGACACTTGGCCAAACAGCTGGTGTTGGTGTTCCACATAATCTTGAAATCATTTCAAGCTGTGCCATTTCTGCGTTTGCTTGAAACAAAGGCTTCTTCGAAAATAGTTCACCCAAAATACAACCACAGCTCCACACATCAATGGATGGTCCGTAGCGCTCCTCACCCAATAATAGTTCAGGTGGTCTATACCACAGTGTGATCACTTTATTTGTATAAGGACGTTGACGATCCTCTGCATTATATAAACGTGCTAGACCAAAGTCGGCCAATTTGACTTCGCCCCTGAGGATACATTTTAATGTATTATTTATTTTACATAAAGTTTGGCTTGTGACATTAAATTATATAAAATTTTAATTTTTAACTCACTTATTATTCAATAAAATATTTGAACATTTGATATCCCGATGTAAGAAATTCTTTTTATGACAATAGTTAAGACCATCCAGCAACTGTCTCATTATGCTAGCATTATTTTCTTCATTAAATTCAACCATTCCAGACTCCAGTAAACCCATCAAATCATGGTCCATATATTCAAATACTAAATAAAATGAGCCTTTGTCCTTACGAAACTCCAAAGCATCTTGTTTATCGGTGACGATTTCCCGTAAGTTGACAATATTTCTATGGTTTAATTGCCTTAGAATTTTTATTTCACGTACAGCAGTTATCGGAAAACCTTCTTTTTCATGCTCTAAGCGGACTTTCTTCAATGCCACCATTTCCTTTGCCTGATTATCTCTCGCTTTATATACCTATATGTGAGAAAAAATTATTGATTCAAATACTATCTGAATTTACATTTATATATCATTGGTTTTCAACAGCGGTTGTTGGTTGCGTTGGTATACAGATTGTGAACACGCCAATTCTAACAAGCATGAACATGAACACACAATTGAACCGACGCAGTACATACAGTGTGTTACGTATATACCAACGCAATCAAAAGTCCCTGTTGAACAGACAGCAAAGTCACGGCTCTGAGAATTTAAATTACACCACCATTTCATTATTTGGCGATAACTTTGTGTTTGTTGTTTATAGTTTTACTGTACTGTGTCACTACTGTTTATATCAAAATTTTCAACAACCTGTCCATAAGTTCCTTCTCCGATCTGTGCTATAACCTCAAATACATCGACACATCGTTCTCCCCAATCTTTGATTGTCTGACTCCTTGAATTTCTTCGATGCAAAATAGTCGGCCGCTTACGTTTTACATCTTTTTTGTTGCTGATCCCACCGCTATTTCTAGAAATAACATTAAATACATTTATTAGCTTATATATATTTAATCAAATAAAAAACTTTACCGAAGTCAATTCTCGTGCCGAAAGCGAACACAAAACTTCTGATATCAATTTAAAAAGATCGTTTTGGAGCGATTTCAATTTGCCTATTTTGCATTCGTTCATACATCGCACCGAAATGATTTTTTTAAATTAATATAAGAAGTTTTGTAATCGCTTTCGGCACGAGAATTGACTTTGTTAAAGTTTTTTATTCGATATCAAAGCTGTTTTGTAATAGAATTTTTCAATAAAATTAACAGTAAGTCTATGTTCTTTCACACATTTGACTATGAACGCAATAAATTTGAAATCTCAAGAAACAGTTCCATTTTCCACAATTTCACTTGATATTATGATATAAACAGACTGTGCAAATGGTCGGTATCTCTAGAAATTTCATTAATATCAACTAAATACAATACCAATTTTTATCAATATTTATCTTCGCCAACAAATGACTTTTTGTCACTTTTTTGCGTTTTTTCATGATTTTTCTAACTATTAGGAAACGAACTTAACCAGATATGTGCTATATGTCAAATTTTAGCTCTGATTTGAGGCTATAATCAGGAGAATTTTGAAAAAAAAAAATCGTCGGAGCCGTTTTCGGGAAAATGACCGGTTTGTACCATAGGTGACCATTTTTTCGGTTTTCCGCCCATAAGACCATGTCAATTCAATTTTTGCTGGCTCCGAGACCTTTCCAACGATACCCAAAAGTCTGGAATTGGATGACTGGTTTGGGCGCAGTGGCCATTGGAAGGAACGCCATTTTCAGAATTTTCAAAGGGCCTCCAAGGCCAAGATGGCGGCTAGATCAAAAAGTGGCTCAACAAAAAAGTCTTAATTTTTTATATACTCCAATGCCCTAAAGTTTGAAAAAGATCGAACAAAAATCGTACGGACGGACGGACACACAAACAGATAAAACTATTATGTACTAACTTTTAACTTAAACATGTTTCAATATAAACGGGCCCCGTTCAACGTCCGAAAAATGGGAAAAACTGAGAATTACTCTCAATGTTCCAGTGGCCATATCTTTGGAGGCGATTGGTCGATTTCAAGTTTGAACACATTTTCTGGGCCTATAATGTAGGGACTTTTTAGTCGTACTTCATTCATTTCAGATGACCACTCAGGAAAAAAGTTCAAAATTGCGTGTATATATAGACGAATTCGACTTTCAGCACTAGGGTGCTTCCTTCACTCGTATCTGCTGTCGCCGGCTGTGATAGATGTTGACCCATCTACCACGTCACTTTCTTAAAGCTGGTAATTTAATTATAGGTTTATTTTGGGGCAACTTTGATGACTCATCATAACAAGGCGCTAAGCAATAACAAATTGGAGAGTCATAGCCAATTGAAGATTTAAAGCTCGACATTGATTTTGTGCTGTAAGAGCTGCAAAACATCGATACTATGGAACGGGTACCAATGGTGTGCACCAATGGTACTAAAACGATGTGCGAGTCATTTAGCACGTCCACTCACGCAAATTTTCAACGAACTCTTGACGGCTGGTCCATTTGCTGGCGGATGGAAGCGCTCGAGTGTGTCACCCATATTCAAAAAAGGGACAAAATTGAAAATCGGAAATTATCGTGGCATTGCTAAGCTCCAAACTGTGGCGAATTTCTTCGAGCATTTGGTGAACGTCAAAAAGTTACACGGCTGGATTTACTGTCTCTAATTTTATTGAATTTATTCAATATGCCCCATCATAAATTCAAATGCATAAGTGAATATTCTATATACGGACTTCATCTTCTTGCCAAATCATGATCAATAGTGAATTCGATTGAAGACAATGCGAAGATTTCCCACATAATTCAATGGAATTTCAGCACAATGCTGACGTAAACAGAGAAAATAAAATGACTCAAGATCGATTGAAAGAACAGAGGGACAGCAAAAATCTTACGTCCAAAATGATTCAGCTAGTGTGATAACTCCTTGAGTTCAAGTTGTATTATTTTTGCTCACGAGATTTATTTGTTTCTTGCGGTAACGATTCCCTTCCTATCTTATATTTTGGAAATGAACTCGAAAGTTGCTCTCTCTATTGATAAAACAACAATGATTAAACTTACACATGCAGAACACTGTTGTTTTGTTTGAAGCTTGATGAATGACCTGATGTGACTGGTGAACTGATATAATCATCATCTCCACTCAAGTCTTCACTCCCAGGAACCATTGGTGGCATTGGTAATGTCAGAAGTCCACCTTTCTTATTTGTAACACCAGATGTTGCTGGTTTATTGGAAGTAGTTTTTGTCTGCTTACAGATTGGACTCGTACTTTGTGGTGGGCTAGGTGTATTAATATCTTCTAGCTCATTCACATTCACCCCTGGAGGCATTGGCAATTTCGTAAGATTTTTTGGCTTCGATATCGTCGTAGTAGTTGATTTCATTAAAGTTGTAGATTGATTTTGCTATTTGATAAATACGTCAATTACATTTTAGTTTCCCCTTAATTTTTGAAATTTTCAGTTGGCAGTAACACATAAAAGAACATGATGAATAATTAAATTAAAGTCGATGGTTTACCTTCGCTTGAGGGCGCGAATAATCAACTGTCGTATTAATTATCGTCTCCTTTAATAATGATAGAAAATACAAATAAGGTATTGAAGGTAGTTTTTGGCAAGAGAAAATCATTAATGGATATTGAAGTTTACCGTGCGCTGTGTGGCTATCACAATATTTGAAACAAATGTGGCTTTTGGTTCACTCGGCGGTGGAGGTGGTGGTACTGAAATGAGATTGAATTGTCGATGCAGATCGGTGTGTGTTTTATCAGACGAATTGATACTCTCTTCCCCTGGTGATTTTTCTGTCGTTTTTGCATTAGATGTCGTAATTCCTTCTTTTGAGGTAGTTTTATCATTTTGACTTTCATCCGCACTTGGCATTGGAATGTCAACTAAGCATACTGCATCTTTCATTCCGTTCGATGTCTGTAGATCGTTGGTTTTTTCTGAACTTGTTGATATACTCGCTGAATCCACTGAAATAAAATTTAATGGTTTAAACAATATGTTTTCTCAAATTATTCAGCTAACGATTAAATTGATAAAATATACCTGTATCAATTACTACCAAATTATTGTTATTCGTAATAGCACTATTTGAGTTTTCACCACCAGAATTAACAGACTTTTCCTCTTGCTTGTCAATGATTTCTTTCAAAACCTTATCTCGTTTGTGTTTGTCTTTAACTAATTCAGCGAATAAACTTGTGTCCGGAATTTTATTATTTATATTAAGTTTTCTTGTTGGGGGAGTTGGAGAGCGTGCGGCCCGTGGTGATGTGTCATTTTTGGTCCTATTAGAACGCGATGAATAATACACCGGAGAACCAACTGGTCGAAATGCTCGTGGACTGTGACTACGGGAATGTCGTTTACTCAATCGAACTGGCGACGGACTGTGTGGTGCGCGGCGCTTTCTGTTTGAAGGCAATATACGGGTCGAGGATGTCAGATCATAAGTATCTGCAATTCGTTCACGAGAATGCCGATGGTTCTGAATATCCGTATTTCTTTTCGATGAGTATGGGTAATCTGAAGGTCGCTCATAAGTTCTTTCTGGTCGCCTCCTTTTGCTACTGTGTGGCGGCGGACTGTATGCATTTCTTCGATTACTACCAGGAGATCGATAATGCGAATGTGAATGTGAATGACTTCCACTTGAGTTCGCATCCACATCTATCGGGCTATTATGGTATGCAGCTACGGTTGTTTTTCTGGGCACTAATGGTGGAGTATGTGGGGATGATGCAATATATTTTTGCGCTTATGACAAATAACCATCAAAAGGTGTTATGATAAGTTGAATTGTCGCTCAAAATTTTAATGATAGATTGTAATTTCGAATGGACTTTTAATAAATCCATTAGTATTTTTAGCTGAAAAATCCAATGGATTAATATCTAATCCCATAGTAAAGATAATTAACAAAAATGATTCCATGAAAAATTAACACAGAGACTGTTATTTTATTCGACAATGGTCACACTCATTCCCGCTCATGTTTGTATTGTATCCTGGTACTGTTGCATCGGCTCACAACGAATTTGATTCAGCGCGATTCTAGTATGAATTTCGAATTAGTTGTGGGCTAAGTAAATTCCAAAAAGCTATGCAACAATGGGAAACGGTACTTCTTTGTTGCTAAAAAAATAACCAATTGATTCTTCTTTCGATGGAACGGTGTGATAGACGTTGTTGTATATGTGGCACTGAGGTAATTGAGCCAACCAGAAAAACAATTTTTGTTCAAGTCGAATTTCAATCGAAATAGTTTCATAGCTTATCTCGTGAATATATTGTTGGAGTGTTCAAAGTAATTTTCGAGGATGAAATAAATAAATTTTCAATTGTTTTACAAAATCAACAAAAATAAAATGAACCTTGTCAATCCAGGACCATTTACTAAATCATCAGCCTTGGCAATATTTTCGGATATATATTATACAAATGGATTAGATATTAATCTAATAAGATTTTTATGCTTGATAATTTCAAAAGATTAATAATTAATCCGTTCTATATTACAGAGTCGATTGTGGAATAATATTTTACCTGTATCTGAATAAATGCTCATGTTGCTGTTGGGTCTGATTGGCGGTGTCATTGGTGATTTTGATAGAGTATCCGTACGGTTTGGTGTATATCGTTGTTTTCCCCAATGTGTGGGGGACTCACTCCGTATCGGTGGTGTCAAATTTAACTCATCATCCAGCATTGAATCATTATCGGAAATATTTTCAACGCTTGAAATGGATTTATTTCGTTTTCTCTTCTTTTTTTTCTTATTTTTCTTCTTCTTTGTTTTCTTCGTCTTCTTTCTCTTACGCTCAACTTCATTTGAGCCATCCGATTTAATTTCGTCGTCATCGTCATCTTCATTTTCATCATGAAATGAGGCAGGCGAATGCTGAAAACATATAATTCGATTTTTTAGATCCATATTTCAAATATATATTAAATGCCGCATTATTTTTATTGTTTTTACTTGGTGGCGGTGATGCGATGAAATACTCATTTTTGATCTAGAATGCGAAGATAATGATGAACTAATAGGAGACCCAACTTCCAACTTCCGCTGTGGTGGTGTTGAAGATAATTTAGAATTATCTACATCCATGACACTTCCAGTTGCTAATGAAGGTGCATTATTGCGACTCGAAGAATTACCATTACTAAAAGATGAAATTTTATTAGAATTCTCTAAGAAAAGAAATTTAATGAAACACTTACTTCTGGCAGTCACGATCGTTGAACGAATAAGCATTTTCTTCGTCTTGAATTTCTCCCGCTTCTGGTGCTGAAAAATCTTCAGAGCTTACATCGGAGTACTCAACTAATTTACTCGATGGCAAAACATCCTTGGATGAATGTATTTTACCACATTTGGAATCGTATTCATCGATGTATGGAGATTTTCGATGTCGTTTTGATTTCTTGCTTGACTTCTTCATTCGTTTTTTACTATGTTTACTGCTGCCGCGGCTTCTATCCATTACAGTAATACTTCGGGCACAACCGGGTGCAGTGTAATCAGATATAAATGAGGCGTTTTGATATTTGTTTTGGAGATAATTGATTATTGCCAATAAAACCGCATCAGATTTTCATTAATGTGTCAGTATTTGTGTGTATCACTTCATCTGAAATTAAATAAAAAATCGGAGTTATTTCTCCAACAGCTAGATGCAAATGAATACATTTAAGAATGGACATAAGGCAATGTAAATAATACAATGTGTATGTATTGTGCCGAAGAAGTCAAATGCGGTCACAAACATTTCAATGGCATAATATTGTGTAGGTCTTTCAATCCTGAGAATCCATCAAATTGTAACATAGTTTGCTCTGAACCTTAAACTATTTATTTGAGAAACACTCTCGTGCACTTTTCTTTATCATAAACCATGGCAACACTCATTTGCATATGCACTCTGCCATTTAGTCCTTGGATTTTTATTTTTTTATCGTATAAATTCATTACTTATAAAGATATTGGTATAAATTTCTTTCAATCTTGTAAATATTTGAATTGATTCGGTTTCTATTTAATTTCAGTCAAATGATTTCACTTCATCATTCCTGATGTTTTGTGAATGTATGAATTCACACAAATCATATACATACACTCATTACATGTGGGTAATGTCAAACTCAAATGTACAAATTTTCGTAATTCAATCAAACAAAAAACCAATTTAGACTCTTTTTTTGCTATAATTCACCAATTTTGCTTGCACAGACCTTTACAAACTTTTTTGTAACGAATGATAATAATATCCATTTATGACGATATGTACAATTTTGTTTTCAGATTCTTCGTATCTTTCTGTCTATATCTCTTGTACAAAATGAAGTTCGTCTCACATTCAACTTTAAAATACAGCACAAATTAAACAAAGTTCAGTTTAAATTCTTTTGAACAAACCAACACTATATGATTATTTACACAATGTGTAAATTTAAGATATTTGAAAAGAAAATAAAATTTGCTTCATTTTAATTCAATGGAGAGCCCCCATGTACTATTACATTTTGACAATTTCCTTTTGAAATAAAGAAGCAGCAGCAGTAGAAGCAACAACAGCACGAACATCAAGTTTTAGCGTTTTACAGCTGTCAAAATCGGTACGGAAAAGTATGCATTTCGGACACATAACTCATACAATGACATTTGCACCGCATTTCGTATGCTTATGTTTGATTTTAGAAACATTGACACAATTCATCGAAAAAAATGGGCGCTTGAATTCAAAATTTAAAATGCATCTTCTGCTATTCGGATGAAGTGAATTTTTATAAGATTCTTTTGTATTTCTTTAGTTTGGAAAAGCAAACCCGAAAATTAAATGAGACTTAAAAATATGTTATCTTTCACTAAGTTCTTTTTTCAATACAAACATTTTTATAGTTAATTGAAAACCAGCATGACAGCAAATATAAATATAATGTGTTTTATTTTAGGAATATTTTCCTTTGTTGTTCCAATTGCAAATCAAAACTAATGCAATATTTGACCGATCCAAAAACTCTTCAATTTGCTTCATATGATCGTAAGATAACTTTAGAGTGTGTCTTGGTCGCTCTTCTTCACACAGACGAAATTATCAGACCATTTCTACATATTCACTTTTAATTTTCAATTATTTTTTACAATAATACAAATTCTATAAAAAAAACAGCTATCAATGTAGTCACTGCAATGTGGGGTCCGTTTTATTACTGTGCATCCCATGCAAAACGCACCCTTTTGTTCGGAGTCTGTAATGGAAATTTTCGTAACTTATGTTATGCACAACATGTCAAAGTTGTTCAGAACGCAGAATGAATGCGTTCAAAGTACATTACCTGATATTATTATTATTACTTTATCATCGCATTAGAAGTGCACTGGCATAAAACTTTGAACCGAATAAATGATATTTGAAATTTTTCAGAAACAAAAACGTTATGAATATTCTATTGTATAATGAAAATTTCATGATGACACATACAGTTTATTACTAAATCTGTAGTGCTTCTTTTTAATTTTTATTTTTTTCAATATTAAAAAGTGAACTGAGAAGATTTTATTACTGGATAAAAAAAAGAAGTCAACTACCTACCACGTAGTGCTAATAAGCGATAAACAGTGGGTTAATTGGCAAAAATGGAACCATAATAAAAGATTGAACAAATTATTAAAGAAGAAAGGTTGATCACAGTGAAGGCCTCAAAAGTTTATTTATTAAGTACATGTACAGAAAATATAAATAATGAAATAATTGACAATTATCATCAGATAGTTTGAAATTATACCGCAATTTTCTAATGGATATTAAAAAATTCATCTGAGACATTTACATTCTTTAGTTTTTTTTGGGTAAGAAATGATATATGACTTCATTTTTTAATTTTATTTTTACACGTACACCAGTTTTATATGCATAAACAACATAAGATAAGATAAGATAAGATAAATGGTCAGATACCAGACGGAGTATGAAATTTTAGGATAGCGGTCACATTCTACACTATTTGTACTTTTGTTTTCCCATACAACAATTATGCAACGCAGCAGAAAAATAATAAACATTCAATAAACTTATCCCACCTGTCTTCTTCTTTTGTTTGATACTGATTAGATTCGCTGAGTAAGGTACAATTGGGTCCACTTTGATGCAGGTCATTTAGACCAATCGTTTCGTCTGGTTTCATTTTTGTGGGTGCAATAGTTGTTACGATTCTTGTCAAGTCACCATACAAAGCTGATGTGGCACAAGTCTCTCCTAAAATATAAAAATCTCGAATGATTATTTTCGTATTTTTTATAAATTAAAATAAGTATTGTGGCCTTGTCCGAAGTGCGGGTACATAGTTGGGATCATTTCAAATAACCCGTCACTATTTATTACCATATCGAATGTTGATTCATAATCGGTTTCAAATAATTCTAATTGATTTGTTTTTAATGTTTTTTTCCTACCATCGTGACGTTACAAATGACTGAAACTACACACAAATACGGGCCCAAATTCAGACGTGTACATACGCTTGGTAATGGATGCATTTGCGTTAACAATTGCCTATAGGCACCCATTCAAAATGGGCAGATTTGACCCGTCTCACAAAAGAGAAGCATATTGCTGATGTAATTACGGCTTAAAAGATTGAAACGCAAACAGTAAAAAGGGGCTCTTTGGCGTACAATGGATTCAAGTGTCGCTTTCGAAGGTTCAATTTGAATTTAAAATAATTTCGATAGAAAAAATAGTTTACGATCAATTGTAACGATTTTATCACTTTTTCGGCTAGTATAATCCAATATAGTTATCATAATCAATCTAATTATTTTGTAAAAAATAAGACATAGGAAGGAATGTCATTTTTATATAAAATTTATAGCTACGCCCTGAAGAATTAAAAAAATTTAATATCAACTACGCTCATCTCAGAACAACAATAATAGTTGTTTGGGAGCGACAAGTGAAGAACAGCTGCTGAAATTCACACTTGCTATAAATGTCATTGCTTCTTCTGCTTGATAAAAACCTGAAATATATCTATTTACCACTTCTCCTATTGTTTAGTGAACAATTAACTTCAACATGTGAATCTTCTTTTTTGGGAGGATTAGATACTTTCACGTTATTGCTCATATTGGATTTGCTCGGGGGAGGCGGTGGACGAGACTTTGGCAATGAACTTCTGGTGCCGTCCATGATATTTTGCAGTTGTCCAGTTACTGGTGTTTGTTTTTTTCTTGATTTGCTTCTCAAATCACCAACCAATTGTTTATCACAAACTTCGGATGTTAATTCGTACACAGTTGATTTAGATTTGCCATTTGATTCATCCTCATATGTTCTTGTAGAAATCATTATTGATGATGACACTTTTTCAAATTGAAATTTAAAATAATTTTTACTCTTAAAAAATATTGAATAGAATATCAAATATGCTATGGTTTTAACCTACTTTCAAATTTATTTTCCACGATCGTTGCACTTGATATTAATGGTGCCATGATTTGGTCTTCGGTATTCCTTGCGCAAAGTTGTTTACCTGATGTAGAGATATCCTGCGACATTTTTGGTATGAAAGTATTGACTTTGTTTTTCTTTTCAAACAATGCCAAACGTTCTTTGAGGGACATTTCAGCCGGATCTTTTCTGTCTGGTGGTGACATTCTATCGAAAATAGCAGCGCATGCATTATGCACAAATCCTTTTTGTCTCGCATTTTTTAATTCGAGACGTTTAGGTGGTTTTGGAGGTAGTGCGGGCTTACGACCCAAAGGAACAGAAATTGTTTTGACTGAGCTCTCCACTTCACTACGTCTGATAACATTGCTATTTGCATAAACCATTTCTGTTTTCATATGGTCTTTCATTTCGATTCCTGATTCCTTTGTGTGAAATTCCACATCTTTCAATTCGTTCTTCAATTAGAAATCAACAATATTAATATTATACGATAAACAACCACACATGCAGAAAACAATAACTCACCTTTGCAACTTCTTCTTGCAATTTTGGAATATTGTCACTTTCATTCTGATTTTCTTCTTTATTGCACTCATACTTCAAGCTTATTGAACTGTTTGATAATTGGTATATTTTACAACGACGATCGATTTCATTGAGCATTTGTTGTGCAAAAGAGTCCATTTTATAATTGATTATCTTTAAACGAAAACGGAAATGCCAAATCAAAACAAAAACGTTGGTGCACTGCAATTCTCTGCACTATTATTTAATACATATTCCACCAAACCTTGACTTAATGCAATTTGATGTATTTTCTTACAAATAATAGGAGCACAACCTAAATGTTTTGGTAGGAATGGATTCAATTTCATTCGTATAACAGCAATAGTAAGCGAAACGGGTCAGCTAAATTATAAATTGTCTCTCCGTTTTTTACGAAATTTAATCCTGAAAAATTACAATCGACGTTAAATTCAAAAGTTTCTACATATCTGTCTGTTTGTAACTCGCTCAATGATACCCACACATGGACACTGTTTATTATGCCGTATACCACCACAAACTCAATTCACGTATACCAATGAACTAACCGTGTATCTATTGACTGAATTGGGGCCGTCCAATGTACATAGTACACGAGCAATGGAAAAATACATTTACGTTAGCATGTTTTCGTTGCAGCATCAAAACTATTTATGTATGAGTTTATTTGGTCCCTATCGGAGACTTTGTAGTTTCTTTGAATTCATTTTACAATCTGTTGAAAATAGAAAACAATTATAAACATTGAAAAGAATTACATTCGTATTTCCGAACTTTTCCGTACTATTGTCCGTACTTTTTAAAATAGATGGATAATCGAGGTTTTCATAAAATAAGCCCAACCAATCAAAACTTCCATATTATTATTAGTTTATGATGGAAAATCGGGTGATGTAGAAAATATATGACACCCATAGAACAAAAAACAACTTATGAGTTCTCTTTCTATAGATAAGATGGAAAAAAACTTAGAGTAAAAAAGAGACAAATAAAGTTGCGAGCAAAAGTGATACAACTCAGCATTGAGTGGAAAAGACGTTTTTTTGCATTTTTCTGCCTGTTGGAAAAAGATTTGTAGTTCTTTTGATGTTCTATAATAATGCTGAAGACACCTAATCGTTATCTATTTCCAGTAGCGAGAAAAATGCAAAAAACGTCTTTTCCACTCAATGCTGAGTTGTGTCACTTTTGCTCGCAACTTTATTTGTCTCTTTTTTGCTCTAAGATTTTTCCGTCTCAGTTATGGATAAAGAGCTCATAAGTTGTTCTCTTTTTCTATGGGTGTCATATGTTAGATACGAAAATAGATTTTCTGCATTGTCCAATACGAGAAATGTTTTCGGTAGCAACGCCTTCGATTTCAAATCTTATTGTACGAATGTACAAGCGAAACACAATTGATTTTGATTATAAATTTCAGTCGGCGACGTTATTCGTATGTTCAAGTAAAATGAACTGAAAAAAATTCACTTCCGCAAAGCGTGACGGTTGACAGAGGTGACGGATAATGGGAGGACGGATAATCGAGGCTCCACTGTATTCTCAAAATAAAGAAAATATAAATCGCAGCATACATTTTTTTTTCAAAACATTGGTAATGTGCATTAACGAAAAACAATTCTTCAGTTTTGAGCACTCCCATAATCTTATGAAAGTATTGGAACCCGCATTCTCAATTGCAATTTTGTGCAGTGCATTGACTCTGCCCGAAAATGTTTTTATAACAAATTTGTTCTCATTAAGCCACCTTTCATAAGAAAATAAGAATTATCATAATGTTTCTGCTCCAGTCTGTATAGAAGTAAAGTAATAAGTAACTGATTACTTTTTACTTATTACTTTCATTTTATTACTGTAATAAGATGATTACAGATTACTTTGTAATAAGTAATAAGATCATCTTATCAGCATCAAAAAATTTATTTTATTTTAAACTTTGGAAAAATATTGCATAGAGTGAAATCAGCGAGCGAGAGTGAAGGTTCGGTGCACGGTGTTGACGCTTTGGGGCTATTTTATATGGGTACTGTCAAGAAACCGCAGTGTTGATATTCATATTCTAAGAAGTTCGGAAAATGAAGTTGTGCTGAATTTAATTCTGTTAACTCTATTCATTATCATAATTTTTCAATTTCGGGAAATTCACTTTCGGGATTTTTTTTCTCGGAGATTTGATTTTCGGGATCACAGCCGGCGACAGCAGGCGCGAGTGACGAAAGCACCCCTGTGCTGAGAGTCGAACTCGCCTATATATACACGCAATTTCGAACTTTTTTTCTAAACGGCCATTTGGTATGAATGAAGTATCGTCAGAAAGCCCTTGGCTCATAGGCCCAGAAAATGCATTCAAACTTGGGAATCGACCAACCGTCTCCATAGATATGGCCACTTAAAAATTTGGAACAATTCTCAGTTTTTACCATTTACCGGGGGTGGACGCGGCCCAGTCATCTCAAAACATGTTTCTGAAGCTTGTCGTTGAGACCTTTCCAACAAGACCAAGAACGTCGAAATCGGACCATCAGTTCATGAGTTATGGCCATTTGAAAATTGTCTTTTCCGTCTCCACCAATTATTCTGAGATAATAGTTTTGTGTGTCCGTCCGTCCGTCCGTCCGTCCGTCCGTCCGTCCGTCCGTCCGTCCTTTTTGTCCGATCTTTTTCAAACTTTCAGGCATTGAACTATATCAAAAACTAAGACTTTTTTGTTCCGCCACTTTTTGATTCGGCCGCCATTTTGGCCTTGGCCGGCCTTTGAAAATTCAAAAAATGGCCTTCCTTCCAATGGCTACTGTGCCTAACCCTGTCAACCGATTTCAGACTTTTAGGTATCGTTGGAAAGGTCTCAAGGCCAGCAAATGGCACCTATTTGAGCTTTGAAAAATGAAGTTAGCATGGTCTTATGGGCTGAAAACCCAAAAAATGGTCACCTGGCCTTGAACAAATCGGCCATTTTCTCGAAAACGGCTCCGACGAATTTTTTCAAAATTGCCTCAAATATTGCCCCAAATTAGAGCTAAAATTTGACATATAGCTTATATCTGGGAAAACTCTGTTTTTCGAGATATGGCCATTAGAAGTTGGAAAAAACATGAAAAATCGACAAAAATCAACTAAAACTCATTTTTGTTGCCGTGAATAAGGTCAAAATCATAACCAAAGTGTTTTTGCGCTCAGATGAATAAAATTCTTCCGGATACCAGCCCTTCACCAAGTCTTTTTATACCATGCAATCAACTAAAAACTCAAAAAAGTACTTTTCATGAAAAAATCAAAACGATTTTAACTACAACATTTCATGTTTCATTTTCTTTGGCTCAATACACACCACTTTGTGTTTGATTCTAGGGGCTAGGAACAATCTGTGAGATTCACATAGATTCGCATATACTCATGCGTTCGTGGCTTTGTTATTGTTGTTGTACGCTCACTGCGATGCGAATGTCTCGTATACACAATCACACGAATTCACAAATATTCGTA